TGAGTTTATTCAATCCACAATGGTACTTTTCCATAGAATTCAAAATCATACATGTAGACATAATTCTAAAATTACTAATTAGGGGGTTGGGCATTTGGTTAACATTCACAAGGCCCTGGATTTAAAGCACCCCAAAAAGTAAAGTTACAAAATTGCATACAATTTAAATGTGACTGGTAGCCAAAACAGCTCAGGTCTAAGTTCACTTAGTTAAAAAAGAAAATAAAAGTAGTATTTATCTTCTAAATCTGTACAAAGCACAAAAGAAAAAGCAAGGCCAAAAGAAAACACAATAGTTGTTAGAAACCCTAAGATAGAGCTGACCTCAGAAGGAAAAAAATCACATCAGATGAGTATCACAACAGCTTTCACTTATTTAATTACTTAACTAGCAATTCTACTACATGCTGGACATCATGCTAGGTAGACCATGGTGAGCAAAATTAATCTAGCGATTGCCTTTATGAATTACTGTCTGTTGGAGAAAAACAGCCAATTAAGTTGACTCAAAGCAAAAGATTGCTGTGAAAAGTGGCAGAAAAATGTTTTTGGAATACAGAACAAAATGTCTACCCTATGAAGAAAGGACACAGATGTTAGACACTGTTAGGCCAAAAGTAAGAAAGGAGATCCTATCAAGAAAGATCAAGAAGCTTTCAGAAATTAAAATTTCAAGGATGAAGAGTCAGTCAGATAAAGAGCAGCATATATCAACTATGCAGTGAGAGCATGATATTTTCAAGGGACCGAAAGATACTCTGACAAAGAGATGAACCTTTGGAAATGATATGAAGCAGGTCATAAAGGATTAACTAGGCTAATTAATGAGCTACCTAGCTTTGTGCTGTGGTGACCCAATACCTAAGAGCAAAGGGGGAGTTAAAAAGGAAACATAGCTGGTTCAGGGTTTCACAATTTTCAGTTTACAGCCAGCTACATTATTTTAGGTTCAAGAAGAGGCACAAATACCACAGTAGAAAGGCATGGCAAAGGACAGCTATTCCTCACAGCAGTTAACAGAGAAAGACAAAGAACCCAAGAGAAAGTGATCAGCGATGACTGATCAGGCCCTCAGAGCCTTTCCTTTTAATTAACTGAAACTCACATTCTGTTACCACAACCACCCAATAACATCATCAAATTGTGATTTCATGATCTAATCACTCCCCAAAAGCACAACAGCTGACAATCAAGCCTTTAGCACATTAAGTTTTGGGGGACAATTCACACCCAAGCCATAACAGTTTAGAAATCATTTAACAAAAGAAACCTCTAAAAAAGTTTTTCACTTGAACTGAGTTTAATTTTCTGCACCGAAAAGAAGCCTAGGGTGGATGCAGGAAGATACTAAAATGCTATTGCAATTGCTTCATGGCCAAGATCAAGTGTAAAATGCTATTGCAATAATCCAAATACAATATAAAGAAATTGTGGTACCTGAAAGGAATTAATGGCAATACATTAAAGAAAAGTGGATAAATAAAAGAACAGTAGCTATCTGAGTCACATTTACTTGATTCAGGAATTATCTCCACTAGTGGCGGGGCCAGGAGTGAAGAGCAATGCTAAAGTCCACATATACAGATTAGGCTGATTGAAAAATTTGTAGAGCTAAAGCAAAGAGGTTAGTTTTATTTTGTGGTTGGTTTTCTAATCTAATCTCAATATCCTGAGTTTTAGATATTTAAATATCCAATTAGAAATGGTCAGTCAAGATTGGCATATCAGGTATGCAACTCAGGGGAGAGTCTGATATCAACATGTAAATAAGAGAATCATCAACAAAACTTCTAGATTTTTTTTTTCATATGTATTTGGTACAAGCTCTCACTACATAGCTCGGACTCATAGTGATCTCCTTTTTACAGCCTCCCCCGTTCTAGGATTACAGGTGTGCACCACCACATCCAGTCTCCAGCTGGCTCAGTGGGGTGGGGCCAGTGCAGCATGTGGTGCTGGGGATGGAACCACCATCCCTGCGCTTGCGTAAGGAGGAGCTTAGTCTGCTGAGCTATCTCACAGGCCCAAGAATAGATTTCTGTGGACAGGGGAAGAGGAGAAGGAGGAGGAGGAGAGGAGGAGGAGGAAGAGGAGGAGAAGGGGACAAAGAAAACAATGAAGAAGAAGAGGACAAAGAAGATGAAAATGATGAAGAGGAAGAGGAAGAAGAGGGAGAGGAGGAAGAGGAAGAGGAGGAAGAGGAGGAAAAGGGGGAAGAGGAGGAGGAGGAAGCAGCAGCAGCAGCAACAACAACAACTAACAGAAGATGGAGCACATGCCTTCCAAGAAAAAGAAGAAGAAGAAGAAGAAGAAGAAGAGGAGGAGGAGGAAGAGGAAGAAGAGGAGGAAGAGGAGGAAGAGGAGGAGGAAGAGGAGGAAGAGGAGGAGGAGGAGGAGGAAGAGGAAGAAGAGGAAGAAGAGGAAGAGAAGAAGAAGAAGAAGAAGAAGAAGAAGAAGAAGAAGCAGCAGCAGCAGCAGCAGCAGCAGCAGCAGCAGCAGCAGCAGCAGCAACAGCAGCAGCAGCAGCAGCAACAACAACAACCAACAGAAGATAGAGCACACGCCTTCCAGAAACTCCTAGGTCTACAAGGAAAATGTTGAAGAGTATTTGGACAGGAAGACTTGGGGGAAACCAGAAGAGCTGTGATGCCAAATCTAAGGAGGAAAAAAAAAAAAAGAAAGACTTGTGACAAAGGTTATGGTCAACCAAGTAAAATACTATCAACATATGTGGTTAAAATACCCACTGGACTCAACACTCCAACAATGTTCTTCCTATGTTCCGTTTTTAACGGAAATATGGAAAGAATAAACATGGAAAGAATACACCACTGAAAAACTGGATCCCCTACAGAAACTTCCATGAGCAAGAAGTTGTATTTCTATCTCTTAAGCCTCATACAGTACCTGATACATATGAAAACATGAATGAATGACACTCCCTCCAAATTTTTTAAAGATCCTGTTCAACAGAACCAAGAAGGCTAAATTAAAAAAAAAGTATTCAATTCAGTTGGATGTGGTGACACATTCCTATAATGTCAATACTCTTGAGAAGCTGAAGCAGGATTGAGTTTAAACCCAGTCTCAGCAACTTTATGAGTTAGAAAAGCACTGTTTCAAAATGGGAGGGGGACCTTCAATTAGAAGGAACTAAATTCAAGCCCCACAACCAGGAAAAAAATTCATTCAGATAATTAAAATTATTTAGCTTACACTTAACTGGCATCTCTACAGATCATCTCCTCCTTGCAAGTCGAGTTATTATTACTGGTGGCCGTGGATCAGGTGTATCCCATCCTCCACTCACCCTCCCCCATTCCTGTATGAGGGCTAAGGCACCCTGTTGCACCTGTGGTAGGAGGCAGTGCCTGCCCATTCTTCAGAAGGAAGGAAACAGTTACCCAAGAAAACATCATGATACTAATATCAAGAGGACTATATGCCTACTTTTCATACATATTTTCAACTATTCAAAGCATCTCTTTGTGGAAAATTTCTGAACAATGGAATCATACTTGACATAGTTTGTGCATCTGTTCTCTTTTTGTAACTTCAAGTTCATATACTTAGCAGTGAAGCCAAATTCATCCTCCAAAAGAAGTTCATTATCTGTATCTGCTTTCTTATGGCTTATTTTTCTGTTCATAAGATTTTGTCCTACATGGAATACCACTAAGAGTTGATGCTGGAAACATTTTTATTTGCTGTTACTTTGTCTACTTTGACTGCCACACAATTATTTGTTAGGACCAAATCTCAGAGCATGGCTAAGAGTTTTCAGTAGAAATGAAGTTACACCCGTTTTGGAGAATAGTCTCCAGATCACTGTAATTTCTTAGTTTTAAAGGAGCATTGCTTGGAACATTTCCTATTTCATCAGCCCATCTTTTGTATGCTTGGAGCAACTTTTGCTTATTGGCTGGTCTTGTTATTTCATCACACTACACACTAGACTAACAAAACAACTTATATGCAAGAGCAATCAATTGGAGCAAAGAGAGAAGATACTTCTTTATGCACATTCCATAAGGGTTGTGCAGAAAAGTACATGGTCAGTCAACTCATCCTATTTATAGCACCTTTTGTGGCAGTTTCAATATAATGTTACTGTAACTTCCGAAACTATGAAACCCCTGAGAAATTGTACCTTTTAAGCAAAATAAAATATTTGTAATAAAAACACTAGTATTAGAATCATTAAAATAAAACATGCAACAGGAACTGGCACACACTCTAAACTAGAATCACAAACTAAATTTTCAACTTTTGAAGACACTTTTTAAAAATCAGAAAAAAAATTACTTCGATTATGAAATATGAATTCTAGTGATAGAGTTCCTGGCTATTCAATCTAACCTCACCTTTAAGAAAGACAGAAAAAAATCGAAATGCACATGCAACACCACTCTATCAAAATTTTAACTGTCCCTAAAGTTACACTTCTTTTAAATCAAAATATAGTACACGAGCAAACTACATTATGAAAGTTGATTTAAACCCAGAAAACTTGCCTTTAGAAATCATCCATCTATCCATATCACCTGCCTAGCAAACCAATACACACTGACTTATGTCAAAAGGACGCTTTCGATTCCTCGACTGCTAAATTCACCTCAATCCACTAAAATTAACTCCTTAGCCAACACATTTACTTTTCATTTGGGTAGGATGATACAAGGCAGATTGTCCTCCCAAAAATTTACGTGAAGAAACCGATGCAACCAGCTTTGAAACCAAGGGGAAAAAAAAAAAAAATCAATGAAAACTGCCTTCCACACAGGACAGAAAAATCACCCACCTACCAGCGCGGCCTAACACCTGGTCAGCAGCGGCCGCGCCTTTCTCTTTATCCCCACCCCCACCTGCCAAGCCCAGGAGTGGGCGCGACGACGGCTCCGAGCCAGCCGCGGCAGGACTAGCGCCAGGGCCCCAGCCCCACCCGGCCACAGCGGCCCCCACGCTTTCCTCCACTTCCCCGTCTCCCGGCCCCAACTCACCCGCTTCCATCCCTCAGTTCGCTCCAGCCTCCGCGCCGCCCTCCCTTTCGCTTTTCCGTCCACGTCCGAAGAGGAGGACACAGCCCACGACGCCTGTGGACCGCTGCACGCCCCGCCCTCCTGCGGCCCCCACGTTCGGTGGCCCGTGTCGCACTGAGTCACTCAGCTTTCAGCGCGACAACTGCGGGAGCACATCACAGACCTCCTGCTCCTGCAGGCAAGACCGGACAAGACAGGATGGGTCGGGCGCCGGCGTACACGTCACCTGCCGGCACCGGCGCCAACGTCCGTACGTCATCGCCCGCGACGGCGCACGAGCTCGCGCGTCACAGCCCCGCCCCTCGAGCGCGCGGCCCGCTCCGGGCTCTTGCCGGTCGCGCGTTCCAGGGGCGCTTCCGCTCAAGCGGGTCGCATCTTTCTCGTTTCGGAGTTTGTTCTTGCGGTTGCTTCTTTTCGCTTCGTTCTTTCCCCGCCCCTGCTTGCCAAACACGAAGAGTAAATTCCTGTGAGTGGTGAGGAGCGCAGAGTAGCAGGAAATCGGCGGCGAGACTGAAGCCGGAGCCCCGTGGCTGCTGCCCGCTGCACGCGTCCTTCTCTGGCCTCTCTTCCTCAGGCCCTAAATATCATGGAGGCTCAGCGTGATTCGTCTAAAGTCTTCTCTCCACTGAGCCCAAGAAACATACACACACGCTTCCTACGTTCATTTGAAAAAAGGAATACATTAAGTAAACCTAACCTGAAGAATGGCGTGCTGTACGACTATAGAATTCTGTGTTAAAGCCCGATAGTTAAGACATGGCATACGTGTGACTTCTCTTCCAGTCGCCTTTTCTCCTAAGGTAACGTGTCCCGATGACTGATAGAAAAAATTTTATGCAAAAGCAACGCATAGTGATCCATTTACACCCTTAATAGACCGTACCTGAAGTACTGTGTTCAGCTGAAAATTGAGCACTTTATGAAGACTTCAATAAAGTTAAGATTATTTCAAAGATAAAAATATTGACAGTTTAGGCAAGAGGAATGAAGTATTGATCAAATTTGAGGGCACTTCCCAAGGGGGGGGACCTACCTAGCTCCAAATATAAAAGCAACATCATGTTACAGATTTGTTTCATGTAATGCAAATTTCAAGAGAATAGATTTCACAATCTGAGAAGATCCCCTTGTAGCTCAAGCCGCAGCATGTGCGTGCATACTTCGACCATTAGATTCGTCTCCAAATAGATTGTGAATATTCCGTAGGGAATTTATATGGAGGAACACTATGTCAAAAGCAAAATTAATTGGTTAATAACTATTTCCAACCGAGATTCAATGAGTTTATGGTTCTGGCCTTCAACCACTTTACAAGTTCGATTATGAAACTAGATAAATATATCAAAAATTATTGGGACAGGGAAATGGCTCAGTGGAATAAGTACTTCCTTGGCAAGGGCAAGGACTTGAGTTCAATCCCCGGTTCGGCCAAAATAAATAAATAAATAAATAAATAAGTAATAGGGCCGGCCAAATAGCTCAGCAGATTAAAGCACCTGCAAGCAAGCACACAGACCTGCCCTGCAGGCCCCACCCCTGGGCGCGCTGAGGTGGCATTTGAGACTGGGTGTGGTGGCGTGGGCCTGTAATCCCAGCTCATGGGAGGCTATAAACAGGCAGATCACTACAAGTGAGACCCTGAACACTCTGTAGACACTTCCCTAAAAGAAAGAAAGGAAAAAAGAAAGAATTCACACATGATAGAAAATACCTATACTACCCCAAATGGGGTGGGAGGTGCTGAGGCAGGGGCATCAAGATTTTGAGCTTAGCCGGAACAATTTTGTAACTTTCCAAACAAAATCCTGTCTCAAAATTTAAAAATAAAGAAAATAGGCTGGAGATGTTGCTCTATATGAGGTGCAGGGTGCAGTACTCAGTTTAGCATAAAAGGAGACTCTAATAAGAGGCACTTGACAGCTCTTATGAGAGTTCCAGAGTGTTAAGGGAGAACAAAAATGAAAGTAGAACTGCCTAGAACTGCCCTTATGAGTAGCCTCAAGCAGATGTAGCTATTGATGTAGCTACAAATGTAGCAGGAAATGTAACCTCCAAATCGAAAAATGGTGTAAGTACAAATATTTACCATATTTCAAACCCTTATTAGGAAGACAAATATAAAATATCTTACTTTTCAATTGATGACAGTTGAAATAATACTGCATATATACATTGAGCCAAATAAAATACTAATAAATTAATAGCATGTTTATTTTCCACTTTTTAAATATAACTCATAGAAAAGAAAAACTATGTGTTTTACATCATATTGCTTTTAGACAGTCATGGTCTGCCAGGAAATACACTTCACTGGATTATAAAAGCTATCAATAGCTTTGTAGTTAGAATAATATGTAGCTAGAATACATATTTGTAGCTAGGATAATATTTGAAGATAACTTCTAAGAAAGATGACTATACAGAAAACACTAATGAAATTGAGACTAAAAGTATGCCCCAAAAATGAAAGAACTTGTTCTCTAAAACAATAAACTTTCTCCCAGTTGTCAAGATTGGCTCGCCGGTGCAGCCAGGCACAAAGAGCCAACATGCCCGTGGTGAGGAGCTGGGTTTGTCGTAAAACCTATGTAACCCCGCGGAGGCCCTTCAAGAAGTCCTACCTTGACCAAGAATTGAAGCTGTTTAGCGAGTATGGGCTCCGGAACAAGCGAGAGGTCTGGAGAGTCAAATTCACTCTGGCCACGATCCGCAAGGCTACCCAGGAGCTGCTAATGCTGGACGAAAAGGACCATCTCTTCGAAGGCAGTGCTCTCCTGTGGTGAATCCACATTGGGGTGCTGGATGAGGGCAAGATGAAGCTAGATTACATCCTGGGCCTAAAAATTGAAGACTTGCTGGAGAGGCGCCTGCAGACTCAGGTCTTCAAGCTGGGCCTGGCCAAGTCCATCCACCACACCCAAGTGCTCATCCACCAGCGCCATATCCGGGTCCGTAAGCAGGTGGTGAATGTCCTGTGCTTCACTGTGCTCCTGGACTCCCTGAAGCACATCCACTTCTCCCTGTGTTCCCCATATGGGGTAGGCTGCCCAGGCCGTGTGAGGAGGAAGAATGCGAAGGAGGGCCAGGGTGGGGCTGGAGCCAGGAATGACAAGGAGATTAAGCCCACCCTTAAATTTCTATTCAAGGATTTAGTTTTCTAGTTACAAAATAAACCAGGATGAATAAAAATATGAATAAATAAAAATAAAAGAATAATTAAATAGAAACACACAGTGCCTATCTGACCACAGAAAAGGACAGAGCAGACCCAACTTAATGCAATTAGAGATTTAAAAAAAAAAACCCAGTTACAACAGACACTGCCAAAATACAGAAGACTGTTAGTAAATATTCTAAAAACCTGTGCTCCCAAAGTCATTCATAGAAGCTAGCATACCCTGATTCCAAAACCATACAAGGCTCTGACTTTAAAAACAAAAAACCTACAAGCCAATCCCTTTAATAAGCATAGACACAAATGTCCTCAATAAGATACTGACAAAATGCAATAGAACTTCAAGAGGCTCATCCAGCATGATCCTCTCCGGGATGCAAGGCTGTTTCATCACGTGCAAACCAATAAATGTAATATATCACATAAACAGAAGCAACAACAAAAATCACATGTTCATCTCACTAGAAGCACAGAAAGCCTTTGACAAAAGTCTAACACTCTTTCATAATAAAACCCTGAATAGAGAAGTAAGTAAAGAGAAGGACCTTACTTCAATTTCATAAGAGCCATTTATGAGAAACCTACTGTGAATGTATTAAATGGAAGAAACCTGAAAGCTTTTCCTCCAAAATTAGGAACAAGCCAAAATGTCCACTGCCACTGCAGCTGTTTAATATAGTAGTTGAAGTATTAGCTAGAATAGTATGGAAGGAATCAAATTATTGTTGACAGAACACATAATCCTTTATGTAGGAGACTCAAAAGATTCCACCAAAAGATTTCAAAAATTAATAACTAAATTAATCAAAGTGACAATATAAAATCAGCACACAAAAGTTAATAACATTTCTACACACCAATAATGATCCCACTGTAAAAGAAGTCAGAAAAATATTATAATAGCATTAAGAATAATTGAAAATTTAGAGTTGAAACTAATGAAATAAGTGAGAGATCTCAAAAGGACATCAAAGAGGACATTAGAAAGTAGGAAAATTTGGCTGGGGGGACAGCTCCACGGTCTAAGGGCCTGCCTGGCAGGTGCAAGGACCCAGGTTAAATCTCTAATACCGCATGCCTGCCAGCCCCGGAAGACTGGATGCACTGTGCCAGCCACCGAAACTGGGCTTGTGGCCCACTCATAATCAGTGCTGGGGAGGCTGAGACAGGAGGATCACTACAAGTCCAATCTGTGTAGCAAGACCCTATACCAAATAAATAAATAAAATTTAATTAATTTTATTGGGGAAGAAATAGCAATGAGACAGTTTTGAAACAGGTTAGTAGGACAGTTACTATAATTAATAATTGCATATTGTTGTCTTCATAGTAGATATTAAGAGTACAAGATGCAGATATGATATCTTGCCAAACAATATTTTATGTCTTCTCATTGAATTATGAGAAAGTAGAAGTATATTTATTCTAATATATATATATATATATGTATGTATATATATTTACTATAAAATTGTCCATTTGTATCCCCTTTTTTATTTAGTTTTGTCAGAGATGGGTTTTAAAAAGAAAAAAAGACAGTAGGAAAATGGGGCTGGCCAGATAGCTCAGTGGACTAAGTGCCTGCTTAGGCAAGCTCAGGAACCTGGGCTCAATCCCTGGCACCACATGCTGCACAGGCCCTGCCCCCAGGCATGCTGAGCTGGCCACTGAGACTAGATTTGGTGGTACACACCTGTAATCCCAGTGCTGGGGAGGTTGAAAGCAGGAGGATCACTACGACTCCAAACTGTGTAGTGAGATCCTGTAAGATACATAAAAAGAAGAAAAAGAAAACAAAACAGAAAGGAAAATGTACCTTATTTAATATAGACTGAACCAACATTGTGGAAAAAGGATATACTCAAACAGATTTAACAGAATCCAATCAAAATGAAAACAGTGTTCCTCAGAATTAGAGGTAACAATCCAAATTTCATATGGGACCAGAAATACTTACCTGGCAGGGGGAGATACCACGATCATATGGAACCAGCAGACATCCAGAATAATGAAAACAATCCAGGGCAACAAAAGTAAAATAAAAAGCAACCCAATCTCAGATTCTGAGATATATTACAAAGCTACAGTAATAAAAACAGTAAGGTACTACACATACATAGACATGATGACCAATAGAACAAAAGAGAGGATGCGAGCCAACATTAACACATTCTGTCACCTGGTATTCAACAAACAAACCAAGAATACATGCTGCAAAAAAATCTGATTAGTGAACATATTTGGAAAATTGACTATCCACGTTCAGAAAATTAACTCTAAACCCATATTTGGACTCATATCTCTCACTGTATACAAAACTAAAATCAAAATAGATCAAATTTTTAAATATTAAAATAGATTTTAATGATGGAAAATTAAAATACTTTATCAGACATAGGCACATGCAAGGAATATCTGCATTGAACACCAATTGCGCAAGAAATAATATCAAGAATCAAATACAGTGCCTGCTTTGGCAAATGCAGGAAGCAGGGTTTGATTTCCAGTCCTGCATGCCACACCAGCCCCACCCCTGGGGCCAGCTGAGCTGGAAACAGAGTCTAGGCATGGTGGTACACACTTGTAATCCCAGTGCTGGGGAGGCTGAAAAAAGGATCACCACAAGTCTGATCTGCATAATGAGACCCTGTATCAAATACACACACACACACACACACACACACACACACACACACACACACACACCCCAACAGATGGGATTGTATTAAATTAAAAAACACCCACACAATAAAAGAAACAACAGAGTGAAAAAACAACCTACAGAATGAGGAAAAAGATTTTGCTGGATATTCACCAGAAGACTAATATCTATAATACATAATGAACTAAAAAACTAGATCCTCCAAATAAAAAACACAATCATACTTTTTTGTTTCCTTATCATTGCATTCAGGGTGCAAGCCCAGTGCTGCCACATGCAGTGGATCTCCCCTCTCCCCATCAGTTTGCTTGCCTATGTGTCAATTGTTCACAAAACTTTACTCATCTGAGCAGGTCATACTCAAATCCTATTAACATATCACAATGAAAGGTCATATTGCACCACATTTGAACCTGACAGATACATCTTTTTAAAACCACACTTAATATCCAAATATAACAGCAAGTTCATATGTAAGATTAATGTGCCACTATTCTATATACAAGTGGAAATGGACTAATTTACTCTCAGAAAAGGAGGCCAGATTTATATTTAAGAGATTCTTATTCTTCTCTTGACATTCCATAACTTAAATATTGTATTGTAGACTTAGCAATATTTAAGCTCCAACATTAATGATTATTATGATACAAAAAAGAAAATAAAACACCTGCTAGATACAAGTATACATATGCACATGCATATTGACAGATTAGGAGAATCATTCTTAAGATGGTTATAAGTATTGTTACCATAATTGATCGTGTCATCATAGGTAGCATTTATAACTACCTTCTTCTAATACTCATTTCATATTCCAATGGTTTTTATTATTTCCTCAGCAGATTCTAGTTCTTTACCTAACAGCATGATCCCTATCTTTATTCCTGAAGGTTCTGGTCATTTGTAATCTTGCCTGGATTGGGTTATTGGAGTTTCCCATTGACCTTAATAACAGGGCATAGTAATATTAAGAGACTCCATAAGGGATTTTGTGTGCTATAAATATATTCTACTTTACCTTAATTGTGGAGTAGTAGTCTAATTTCATCCATAGTCATAAAGATCAATCACCCCCATCAACACCATAAATTCGTTTTAAGCTTGTTGACTCAGAGGCATAACAAACTTCACTGTGGGTGGGGTGTCTTAGTTTCCAGTTCAGTAGACTCATTGTGTCTGCTGCTAGCCTTCTTCCCTCTACAACTCAGACTTCTATACCAGCAGAGTATAATGTTGCAGAAACAGGAAGTGAAAAGTTTGCTAATGGATTACTAAGAGTAATAATGCATGGTACCATTCCTACATCTACCCCCTTGATTCCTGAATCCATAAATCCTGGCCATGGCAGAAATGACAATGCTGATTCAAAGTATTTAGAGCTCCCTGGAGAACCTTGCTACACCCCTGCAAGATATTACCACCTAGTTGGCACTGTCATTTAAATCTTCAAAAGCCTATCCCAGCAGCTTGTGGAAGGTGGTGAAGAAGATAAGACCAATGAAACCTATGAACATGAATCCATGAACACAATTCTTTGACCATGAAGTGTATTCTTTGGACAGAAGCAATGCAGCATAGAAGACCATGATGGTGTATGAGGAATTCCATGCACAGATCATAGTTTTGGTAGATGCATTCCATACAGCGAGGGCAAATCATCACCCAGAACAAGTGTCTTTTCCAACAAGAATGAAGTACTACCCTCTCCATGGGTAACAGTCCAATATAATCAACATTCTACCAGGTTGTAGACTGGATACCCTGGGGAACGGTGCCATACTAGGAGCTCACCGTTGACCTCTATTTCCAGAAAACCAGGCATTCATCCATTGTATCATCTTGATCATCTTTGATGGGTGGAAATCCACATCACTGAGCCCATTCAAAAGTCTCCATCTCCAGTACCATGAAAACTTTGTTCATGAGCCCACTGACAAATCACA